TCTGTATGTGGGTGTGTAATGCTAGTTTTCAAGTGTGAGTGCGCAGGCATATGTGTGCTTGTGAATTTGGAAGCCAAAGATGGGTGCTGGCTGTCTTGCTTGATTGCTCTCTACTTTATCTTAGGGTTAGTAAGGCAGGGTCTCTCACCCTGCCAGGTTGAGCCAGTCTCGCTAGCCAGCTTGCTCAAGGAATCTGCTGTCTCTATTTACTTTGCTGCAATTACAGGTGATCTGTCATGCCTGGCCAGCATTTACATGGGTGCTAGGAATCTGAAATCTGGTCCTTACACTTGTGTGGCAAAGTGAGTACTCGCTGAGTCATCTCTCCAGTCTAATAACTAATTTATGATACAGAGCCATTTAGAGTTTGTTTTTTAATCTAGGCAAAGCAGAATTATTACATGACTTATAAGGATCCACTTCCCATTGTAATTATACAATACGTTACAGTGCTAATGTGGACAGACTGTCTCTCTAGGGCAGACTCTGTAAGGACCAGGGTTGTGTCTGCTTCACTGGTGGCACCAATTCCAGTCCCAGTCTCCGGCATGAATATGGATGGGTGAATGCCTGTAGCGGGGGTTATTCTTGGCACGGATGTTGTATCCAGTGCTCATCTTCCTTGGATCCTCAGTGCAGAGCAGTCTCAGCAGCCTGCTTCACAGGGAGGCAAGCAGGCTTGGAGGGGCAGATGAGCTTGCCCAGTCCCAACCACGGGTCAGACACATACATAGTCACACAAGACACATCATATATGTGGTGTGGCAGTGGTGGCACACACCTTTAATCCCACTACTTAGGAAATAGAGGCAGGCAGATCTCTGTGAGTTTGAAACCAGCATGATCTACAGAGCAAGTTCCAGGACAGCCAAGGTTACACAGAGGAAACCCTGTCTCACAAAAACAAATCAAAACAAAACAAAAGAAACAAAAACAACAACAGAAAAGCACTATAAAGTTTTAGTAATCAAGAGTGTGTTCTGTTAGCAAAAAAGCATATAAACACAGTAGATCAGTGGAACATGGAAAAACATGGAGAGCCCAATAATAAATACACACACATATATATATGTCTGCGTATCTGTGTGTGTGTCTCTGTGTGTGAGAGAGAGAGAAGGAGAGAGAGAGAGTTAAAATGTCAATTTGCAACCACTTGGGAAGGGACTTTCAATGAGGGATGACCATTGGGCATTTCTGTGAGTGATTGTCTTTATTCCATTAAATGGCATTGGAAGACCCAGCCCACTTTAGACAGTACCATTCACTAAGTTTGAGTCCTGGGCTGGGTAAGAGATGGTGAGCTAAACAGTACAGTCATGTACTCATTCATTTCTCTCTGCTCTCGAGTGTGGATATGATGTGACCAGCTCTGAGGTTTTGTTGTCTTGATTTCCCCACTATGATGGACTGGAACCCAGAAATAAGACTGAAATAAGTCCTTAGTCTTCTAAGTTGTTTTCATCAGGGTATTTTATCAAAGCAGTAGAAATGAAATTAGGGCATACAGTCGGCTGCTCTAAGGGGCAGAGATAATAAAATAAACCATGTTTGGAGGTTCTCACCCATTTTGATAAAAATAAAAATTGCCCTTTAAAAGGTTTAACAATTTAAACAAATAAAACCTGAGCCTTGTGACCTCACTTCTCCGACAGAACTGAGAATAGCTAGCTTTCCTCTTGTTCACTGTTTCCTCTTGTTCTGTTGTTTTGATTCCATATTTCCTTTGTTCCAAGGCGAAGAAGGCGCCTCAGGAGGCTGAGATGGTGTTCACAGCACGCTGCAGAGCCACAGTGACCTTCCAGACGAGCGGAGACTCGTGGCGGGAGCAGAAGGAGAAGCGGGCAGCCATGATGGTGGGGATCTTGATCGGCGTGTTTGTGCTGTGTTGGATTCCTTTCTTCCTGACGGAGCTCATCAGCCCGCTCTGTGCCTGTAGCCTGCCACCAATCTGGAAAAGCATATTCCTGTGGCTTGGGTACTCCAATTCCTTCTTCAACCCCTTGATTTACACAGCCTTTAATAAGAACTACAACAATGCCTTCAAGAGCCTCTTCACTAAGCAGAGATAGAAAGGGCTGGGGGACATAAGGGAAGACCAGGGAAGAACAAGGGGTTTGTGATTCCTGTTTCAACGTGGGCATTCTCTCCACCACACACTAACGACACTTCAAAAGTCACACCATTGGGCCTGGAATATGGAATGATTCTCAGGAAGGACACAACTGTTTGGCAACACACCCATGCCTTCTACAGAAAGACACAACAGACATTACTAGTGGATTGTGGTACACGTCTGCACTAGGCAGAAACCCTGCCAAACCCTTCCAGGTTATACTTTAGGTAGTACTGTAATTCATTAGATTTGACATGTGACAAAGTTGATATGCTTTTGTTTTATTTAATTTTCTGCTCTTCAGTGAGGGCCTCTCAGGGCTTTCCTGAGATTGTCTCCTTGACATAGCTTCTGCTTTCCTCTCTCCACCAGAAGAGTTTGCCCTTATCAGCTTCGTGCACACCTCCGCAAGGCGATGATTCTTAGCTTGGAAACATATGAACCTCATCTGAAGCCCTGTTAAAAAGTGTTTCATGCAGGTGTCTTCAAGATGGCTCAGTGGATAAAGGCTCCTGCCACCAAGCCTGGGGAACTGCTTTTGAGCCTTGAGACCCACATAGTCGCAGGGAAGAGAGAAATCCAACTACTGCAAGTTGTCCCCGACCTGCACATATGTGCCAGCAGCCCTCTCTCCCCGTGCACACAAAATAAATAATACTTATAATTTAAAGATAGAAAAAGTGTTCTTTAATTCACACAGACCGATTCAGACTGGTCTAGTATTGCGGTGTCTCAGTGGTTTTTCTGTTTTGTGTCTGTTGTTATTAATTTCAGACAGGGTCTCCTATATAGTCCTGACTGGGCTAGAACTCACTATGTATGCCAGGCTGGCCTCTAACTAACAGAGATTCACCTGCCTCTGCTTCCTGAGGGCTGAGATTAAAGGCGTGCATCTTATCATGCCCAGCTATTATTGGCTTTTTAATTAGTCCATATGAGATACTGCTGGGTACTTACATAACTCTTCAAAGTTTTGTTTTTTTAAGATTTATTTTTATTTTTACTGATGTGTATACGTGTATGTGTGTGTACATGTTGGTGTCTGCAGTGACCAGAAGAGGGTGTCAGAATCCCTGGAGCTGGAGTTAAAGGCAGTTCTAAGTTGCCCCACAGGGATACTAGAAAGCAAACTCTTCCTCTTCAAGAGCAACAAGTGCTTTTAACTGCTGAGCCATCTCTCCAGCTCATTTTTTAGAAACTCTTTAGACTAGTTAAATGGGCATTTCTGGGTATGATCCACACAGCAGGTCTCCTTGTAGCTCCTCACATGGCCTGCTGTGACGTCTCCTCTATCACAGGCAAGGACAGCTGTTAGAAGCTACTGATGCATGTATGCTTGCAGACACACATACATGTGTATGTATGTGTGTGCCTGTGTGCCTGTATGTGCATGAGTGAGGATGTGTGTGTCTGTGTGCATTCCTGTGCATGCATGGGTGTGCATGTGTGCATGATTGTGGTTTGTGTGTGTGTCTGTGTGTATAGGCAATAAAAATACTTCTAAGGTGTTCCTTTCTTGGCCCATTATCAATTGATTTATGGTGCCTACTCCAAGATTGAGAGTGTGAGGCTCGCTGTGTACTTACAATCCAAACCACATAGCCTCTATATCATACAAATCCTTTTGGCTGAAAGACACTAAGGGTCATAGTGAGCTGTGCAGCTACAAAAACCTGAGTGGCCCATAGAACAAACCTTTATCACCTTGCAGAGATGCCACATCCCTGCTGAGATGGTCTGTGTGGGCCTTTCCAGCTTTGGTTGTCTTCTTAGGCTCCCTGGAATGAGCAGGGTGAGTTCTCAAGAGAGGGCAAGAGAGTGAACAAGCCGAAGCCCCCAAAACTCACATTAAGCCTGCTGATGCCCCATGGGCAGGAGCCCAAAGTGGGGACAGAAAAGTGCACACTAGGAGGTAAGAAAAACAGTTCTGGGAAAATGGCTCATGAGGCAAAGTGCTTACTGGAAATCCAAGGATATGAGTTTGACTTGCCAGAACCCAGATGAAGCTGAACACAGAAGTGTGCATCTGTAATCCCAGGGTTCCTATGGTTACTGGAGGGCAGAGATGGGGATCCCTGGAAGTGTGCATCTGTAATCCCAGGGTTCCTGTGGTGACTGGGGGCAGAGACGGGGAAATCCCTGGAAGCTTTCAGGTCAACTAGCCTGGGTTATGGGGCAGTGAGCAAGAGTCTTTGCCCCCAACAAGACTAAAGGTAAAGATTAGCACCCAAGGATGACCTCTGACCTCTACCTACTCTATGACAAATGCTCACCTGCTCTTCCACACACATCACACACACCAAGATGAACAGAAGATGTTAATGTAAACACGGAAATAAGTCCAAGAATAATAAAGAAAGAGTGCGGACTGGGAATGTAGCTCAGTTGGGAGAGTGCTTTTCTATCAACATGAGGTCCTGGGTTTGATATTCACCACCACATAAAACAAGTTTAGTGGAACGTGCCTGCTGATCCCACTTAGATGGAGGCAGGCAGATCAGAAGTTCAAGTCATCCTCAACTATATAGGAAGTTTGTGGTGGTTTGAAAGTGTAAAGGCGTAAGCGAATGCAGACAGATTGTCAAAATATAGACAGCTTTAATGGAGGAATAGACTTACAGAACCACCGTTCCCGCGGAGTCCAGGAAAGCAGAAGCGAGCGCTGGGAGC